CAGTAATGTATGTTCAAAATCTTGTTTCTAGAATCAAAATGTGTAATGGGAACTAGATTAGACGTTTTCTTCAATCAAGAATTTTGGTCAACGCAACCTGTCTGATCGCATCAAAAACTTCTAATGGGCCCGTAATGGGCCTCAACACTTTGAAGGTGTGTGTGTTATCTTACGCATCTACGGAGGCGCATGTTAACAGACCCATTTAGCAATAATATCATCAGTTTTTTTTATTTTTTTGCTCTTTCTTCTTCCACAAAATCGAAACAATCCACAAGAATCGTCTTCTTCTCTCCACCGTCACTCTGCTTTCGATTGGCCTGGGGTTTCAATGCCTGCGAGTTCATCTGGGGAATCTGTCACCGAAAACCCTAGACACTGCTTAGCTGTCCCTTTTCGTCTCCGATTCTTGCTTTACTTCGAGGGATAGAATTGGCTCTTTCTCTGGTCTGATTTAAGATGGCTCCGAGTCGCAGGAGAGGCGCTGGTAAGGCTGCCGCCTGTCGACAGTGGAAGGTGGGCGACCTTGTACTTGCCAAAGTCAAAGGTTTTCCTGCCTGGCCTGCTGCGGTATGTGGGATCATGTTAAATTGGATATGAATTTTTTTGTGCTATTATGCTGTGAATCCCCTTCTCTTCTTGCGACTGTTCTGTTTTTCGTTTTATTTGTCAAGTGCTTGTCCGTCTGCTTATTGCCTGATGCGATTTCAGGTTAGCGAGCCGGAGAAGTGGGGATATTCAACCGATTGGAAGAAAGTGTTGGTTCACTTTTTTGGCAGATGTGAGTTCTCATCTCTTTTCCCTTGCCCTCTTTTATATTTTCCTTGTGGTCGTACTCTGTTGGTGAATGCTGAGATTGTAATTTGAGTGTTTCTTCTTTTTGTCACTGAGCTTCCCCCTCTCACATTAATTCACTTCATCGCTATCACGTGGGGAAGTTTTGAGTTTTGGATCCTTTTCTCCCTTTACTAGCGTGAAGAAAGCAGTAGCCAGCCTTGTTTAGGGGTTTGATTTTAGCTTGTCAGTAGCCTTGGCTGCCCTTGAATGCTTCTTTTTGGATATTTTTTTGGTGCTGTTGGTTTGCATAATTATCCGATTTTGATTTTGCGAGCATATATTTCCTGCTTAGTATCTCTTAATTGGTGGGGTATCCTTCTATTTCTTTCATTTCTGAGGATTAACAAGAGTATGTACATGAACATGAATTTTGTTATAGTTAGATTGTTCGTGAAACCTTTTGATTATTGGATTAGTTCTTCATTGAAAATTGTTTGAATATAATCATATGTAGTTTCAAGATGGAAGAACTAATCAATTTTCGAATATAATCATATGTAGTTTCAAGATGGAAGAGACCCGTAATAATTTCAATTTATCAAAAGTATCATTTTGGGAATGCCGCGGGGTCTGAATGGCGGCTGTTGTCTTACTGCGAATCGTGCTATTGTTTTATGTGCTTCGTAGGATGCTGTTGACAACCACCAGTTATTGGCAGGGTGGGGCAACAGATTGTTTGACCTTTTTGGATTACATAGTTGATGAAAAAGGATGA